CAACTCTATGCTTGAAGATCTGCAGGTTTCACTTGATGACACGATCATGATGTACTGTGATAAGCAAGCTGCATTGCGATAACAGAGCTGCACTGCACATTGCCAAGAATTCTGTCTTCCACGAGCGCACCAAACATGTAGAACGAGATTGTCACATGGTTCGTGAAAGGGTAGCTTCTGAATTCATGAAGGTTCTTCACATTGGTACACAACATCAACTTGCAGACCTGTTAACTAAGCCACTTACAGCTATTCAATACAATCACTTATTATCCAAGATGGGATTACATCACTTGTACTCTCCATCTTGAGGGGGAGTATCAGATTATATACATCGGTTTATAGCTGGTTTAGTATTGATCCGGTTATGTCCCGGTTATATTGACTGTATTTAAGCAGAGTTATACTTGTATTATACACTTCATTAATGAAGCGTATTATAATGAAAGTTCGTTAGATCTGAAAATATTGCCATATTCACATATAGCAAAGTCAATTCACAAGAACACTCTAACTCCTTAATTCTCGCCGTGAACAGTTAAAACAACGTCGTCAGGTATCCAGTGGCGGAGCCAAAAACTTTGTCCACCCGGGTCATCATTTAAGAAAAAAAAATACATAAGCCTAAACCTAAAGCTACGCCAAAAAAAAGTCTAAAGCCTTAGTATTTACTTAAAAGAAATTATTTTAGACCCAATATTATGTATATAAACCTAAATTCTTGTATTTTTAAATTTCACATGGGTCAATTAACTGATCGGACAAAATTTCATATGGGTCATTTGTCTTATTGGGTAAGGGTCAAAAAAAAAATTACATACAAATTCAACTAATTTAAAATTTTTACTTGACCCTTGTAGTTGTTGTCTGCCTCCGCCCCTGCATGTATCTCCTATCTGAATCTAGTACTATTCGATCGTTAGCAACAACAACAAGAACAAATCAATTTAGCCTTCAACCAAAAAAAATTTATTTCAAAAAAGAGAACAAATCGAATCAATCGAAGAAGAAGTTAGAAAAACAAATAGGAGTGCTGTTAGTTGTTTAGGAGAATCGAACCCGGGTATATGGGTTACAAAACAAACCTCTCGCCACCAGACAACGCTAACAATTAGTCAATTTAATCTAAATATGTAAACTTTATATTTTAACTTATAAGGATAAAATTTAACGCCGTCAAATGATTATTTAACGTCTGTTAACGATGTTTAATCATGGGTTGAAATCAACCACTTTTTAAGAGATTAAGTATTATTAAACCAAAATTATTTAAATGAAATATTTTTATACCAATGAAAAAGATGAAGTATTAAATATCCAAATAAAACATAAATGAGATATTTTTAGGCTTTTTATTTCACAAGATTAAGTATTATTAAACCAAAATTATTTACATGAAGTATTTTTATACCAATGAAAAAGATGAAGTATTAAACGTCCAAAAAAACATAAATGAGATTTTGTTAGGCTTTTTATCTCAAAGGTAGCAATGTCAATGGGATACTCTTTCTCATGTGTTATGGTCTTCAAAGATGGCAAAGGCTTTCATTCATTCTTGGTAGTAAATCACGAGAAAACAAAATTTGACCAATCTGATCTTGCTAATTTCAATTGCGCATAACGAGAATTCACAACAAGTAAGTGTAAAAATGTGCCAAACAACAAAAGTTCATTTAGTCTTAACTCGCATTGGTAATATGAAAGAACTAGTCGATGTTAGCAACATAAGAACCTCTTTCAGCAACTGCTCCTCGACGGATCTCACCAAGGTCACAAGCCCTTCTTTTCATCTCATTCCCTTATTCACAGTCTCTATCCATAAACATCTTCACTACTTCCTTGATCTCCTCTCTTTTTGTAACGTCCTAACAACCACCTTCCTTAATGGCCAATAGTGGGTGCCGTCCTCTCTCGGTCCATGGACCCATCCAGCAATCACTTCTCGAAAGATCATCTATCTTGAAATTGGTCCAGCTCAAACACCCTTAACTATGAAGTTCTCTCAGAATGTTTGACCAAAAAAGATAAGTGTGCTTTGGTGTATAGGTGGCCAAATTAATTATTTTTAACATCTTTTCATGCAACAACTTATTTCTTGAAACCGGGATATTAAATTCCCTATCAACAACTCTGTCTTTTTCGTCCTCTTGATCCTCATTCCGACCCTCCAGTCTTCAACAATCTTCTTAGCATTCAAAATATGATCCCGAATCAATATCCCTTCAAGTATCAAGTTACACCTGCAATGCGTCCAAAACCCGCCTATAGGCACACAAAACTGCAGGAGATTGCACTAGCTCACCGCTACACCGATCTATCTACAAAAGCTTCCTTCAACTTCAACTCGCCCCCACGAGCCACCCAAAGGAACCAAACTCCACTCTCTCTCTCTCTCTCTCTCTCTCTCTCTCTCTCTCTCTCTCTCTCTCTCTCTCTCTCTCTCTCTCTCTCTCTCTCTCTCTCTCCTTTCACTACCTCCTCCATTTGAGCTTCAAATGCCGAAAGAACGTATCAGTTGCTCATCAAGCCACTAAGTATAATTGGGTTCACTACCCTCATTTCCACTTTATAGTTCTTGTAAGGATATCAAAGAACATGGGACAGAAACAAAACTCCCTTGAGATATATAAATCACTAGAACCTACCAGTCGCTCATCAAGCCACCAGTCGCTTAGACCAGGATATCGAGCTTAGAGGTTAGAGCCTCATTGGTTTTAATTGAATTGGACGATCCTATTTGGTCAAATACCTAGCGATAAACGTTTCAATTTCGTAAGCAGTGGTGAAGAGAAGGCACTTAGCTACAGAGAGCTCATCAAAACACAACTTAGTTTTCTTGAAGATTCTATGGCCTTTAAGTTGTTGGAATTAAATCAGGGATATAATCAACGATTTTAGCTCCATTAAATTATTAAATTCATCTCTTTATCATGGCTTGTGGAGAAACTGCACTTCTTTTCTCTACATTTGATGTAGAGTTCTAGACGATCACATGCTTTTCCTAGAGTTTTTGTTTGTTCTTCCAGTTGTTTGCAGAATTTTTGGTGGTTGCATCGTTTTTCTAGGATGACAAGATATAGCTGATATATTTTTTCATGATGAACCTTGGTTAAGTGGCTCATTTCCAAGTGGTTCTGGGAGTGAATTCAAGTACGCTCTCTTGAGGTTGACATTATTTATCATCATTTATCCCATCGAGGGCGTACAAATATTTTCTTATATTCTCTTGTAATGTCTTTCTAAATCTTTTCTTTTGAAGGAGATGCTAAGTTATTCTTCTCTTGTGAAACAAAATGTTGCAAGCAATTGCGGTAGTGTGGACAATATAGAACGAGAATGATACTTTGTCAGAAAGGGAACTATTGGAAGATTACCCTCTTTTGAGAACTCTCTAAAACTTGTTTTTGGGTATTTCAATACAGTTTTATATATTCATTTTGATTTTGGTTTATCTCGGTTATTATGGTTTAAATTACAAGCTAAACTCAGTTGATAAGTTTGGGTTATGTCTAGTTTGGTTTTAAATTTGCTTTATTTTTTTGAACTCATTACTTAATTGATTTTGAGAAATCTAAAAATATACTTCAGATACAATCCTTACTAGGTGAAGGGCCCATGTCCTGCGCAAGACTAGTTATGTGTGTGAATAATGAAATAATAATATGATCTTGCTAAATGAAATTGTTAAAATAGCAATAAAGCTTCCAAAAAACTAACAAATCCTAAAAAATGTTGAAATAATGATATAAGGTAGAGACATTAAAATACAAAACCAGTAAAGATTTTAAAAGGTTAACAACTATTTAAACAATGTTGAAGACTAAACTTGATCCCCATTACCTGTAAATATATCTTGCATTATTGAAACCCGAGGACATGGATAATTGAAAAGTATTTGTGTACATGAATACGCCGTGGTACCTATTATATTACCTGAATATATTTACAAAATAATTTGTTTTGATTAAAATAAGTTTAATTGTTGTTGGAAAATATGTTGTATAAATCATACGATAATTTTACCAAATCGTTAGAAAATATAAATTTACCTTTAGAGATCTCCAATTTTACGAATTTAATAACACATATGATGATGTTGATACCTCAATGACAATCGACATTCCAAACATATGTCACTTAAACATATTTATAAAGTTAGTAGTGCGTAATTGATAACAGGCTTTTGAGTCTTTGGAATCAATCACCCAAGTACAATTGCAGTATAAAGGGATTTGCCGTTCCAAATGGAAGTGTGTAAACAATCAGGATGCAATCATGTTTAAACAAGTCAAGCCAATTAAGATTAAAGTTTAAGTAACCAAACTAAATAACCACTAAGCAGAAAACAAAATGAAACTAAAGCAAGCAGTGAATAGAAATGAGACTAAAGTTAAACATGCAAGAACTACAGAAACATAAACAAAGCAAGATAAAGCAATAAATTAACAAAAGGTTCCAAGGATGGGATAATTGACTTCGGTGGAGAAACTAAGGTCACTAGGCTGCTTAACAACACACAATCAAGCTACTCCCTAGACAACAAGCTATTATACTAATTAATTCAATCTCCTGACAGAGGTTATCAAATTAAAATCACTTCCTATTCTCAACTTCTGGTTGACAAAATATGAAATGAATAGGCATTAAGAATCAACTCATTATTGTCAAATAACACTCTAGTCAACCAATATTTTGGGCCTAGACATGAAATTCTCTAGCATTAGATGATCAAGCATTCCATCGATCACCTCTTGGGTGTGGAAGCCTAGGATCTAATCTCCAAATGATCAATAAGGGATAAGTATTATGGACACTAATACAGAAGGGAAATTAAGGCAGTTCTACTCTACAACAACCTAGATCATCTAAGTTCTCCACCTAGATCTAACCCATCCTCAGACCCTAAGTTCACTACTCAGATCTAAGAAACATGTTCAAGAACACAAACCCCAAAAACATTGAAACTTGAAAAATCATATAGATCTAAGAGAGATAGGCAATATCAAACAAAGAACCAACAGTAAATTCCAAATAGATCAAAAGATATGAATTTTACAAGTTTCTGGAAATCTAGAGCATAAAAGAGAAAAGCATAGAACAAAACTCGATTCTGGAGTCATTAGCCAAGAGGCCTATTTATAGAAGGCTTAAAATAAAAAAATATAAAATAGAAAGGCGGTTGAAGTCTGCTCGATTGGTCTCCTCGGTCGTGCATTCGATCAGTCCGATTGAGGGCCTTGGTCGGATGCTTGGTCGAGCTACTTCTCTGGTCCGCTCGAATTTTGACTCGATTCCTCAGCTCGGATCCATATACTCGATCGGATGCATGATCTCCACTCGATCGATTGAGCCTGTTTTGCTTCTTTTCCCCTTGGTAAACAGATGTTTGGACACAAAATCTACAATGCATGCAATGCAAAGCCTAAACTCTACTAGTGAAGCAACATAAAGAAAATATGCACAAATTATCAAGTGATGAGACCTAGAATGACAAAAACAATGCATAAAGCTAGTGCTAAAAATGATTAAAATCCAGACACATCAGTAATTATTTGTTAAGTAAAAACAACACCATAATATTTTGTACTTACTTTTTGTCCTCCATCTCGAAAAGAAGTTGATGAAGTACATTTTAATTTTCTTGTCGTCTCAAGTTCATGACACGTATAAAACGGCCTATTAAATCTACATGCATTGATTATATTTATTAAAAAGATATAAATAATAGACACAACAAAATAAATTTAAATAATAGAAAATCAAGGACCTCAACGTGCTATTTAATATAGGGAATAAATTATAAATAGATACTCAAAAAGGATATTATAATAATTACATTTAAACACAACACTCATTACTTTATAAGATCATAATTAAAAGTACCTTAAAAACAACTTTGATAAAGTGTCAAATATAGAGGTTTTTCTTTTCTTTTATTTATATGCATGATCGATAGATTATTAAATTGTGTTAATTACACCTAAAGTTTTTTTTTCTTTGGTTTATAAGCTTTTCATTTTATTGACCAGTCCAGCAACACCTAAATAAACAAAATATTAAAATTACTTTAATTGAATTATGCCTCCAGTGAAACTTTGTTATGAAAACTAGTTATAACTTTTAGGTGTTTGATTTTGTCAACTTTTAATACTAGATTTTTCTTTCTTTCTTTTTGGTTAAAATTAGATTTTTCTGTCATAAGGTTCCTTTGTTGGTTTAAAAAAAAAAGAAAAAAAAAAGAAACACTCATTTCTTGTATAAATACACAATGTCTTCCCTTGCCTTCTCTTATATTTTTCATCTATAGTGCAACTTCTTCTCATATCAAAACATGGCTCCTGGTTCTGGTTCAAGAAAAAAGAAAGCTTCTAGTTCAAATGTGGCTTCTGGTTTGTTCTTGTTTCCTTGTTGTCATTATTCATGTTTCTTCGTAGGCCTGGGTTTCCAGTCACATTTTATTAGGTTCTCAATTAAATTATATCCCCAAAAACACAATATTCTAGATCTGCCAATCATAATAAGAAGATCAAACTTTGATTAGTAATAATTTTTTCTTGCATATCCAATTTTCAATATTAATAGTTTTTTTTTTTTAACTGCACCAAACTTTAATTAAGAAGACTTCATTTCTGAACACTCCTAATTTGATAATAAATACAAAAAACCTTCCCCTTCAAATCTCCATTTGTATCTAGTGCAATCCAAAAAAAATCGAAAGAAGTGACTATTTCATCAAAACATGGCTTCTAGTATGTATTTTCTTTAATTGTTGATTGTTCATGATTTTTATCCTGTAATTATATATCTGTTTGGAATTGATACATTAAAATTTTACAATATGTACAGGTAGTGGCATTTCTTGTGGAGAAACTACAATAGTTTCACCAACAAGAATTCACAACGCAACTATAGTCTGGCTTCATGACATCGGGATGAATGACCAAGAGTAACATAATCTGACAATCACATACTTTACTTTTTCTTATAATATATATATATATATATATATATATATGGTTCCTTGTTTTCTTATAAGATTTGATTTGATTTTGTTTGAAGTACTGTACATTATATTTTTTCCCTTAACTTTTTGTATTAAATTTGATTTCTTATGAGCTTACTTCCCTAAAGTTGCATGTATATACGTAAAATCAGTCTTGTTCGTTTCTGTACTTCAAGTGCGTCTCTCACTCTATATGTATATTCTTTCTGCATGCAGCTCAGCTACATTTGTACGTAAATTGAATCTTCCAAATGTATGAATCCATGCACATGTTAATTTTTCCATAAATCTATATATTATATTAGCCAAACAGAAGTTTCTAATTAGAAGTTATGATTTTTATGCATAGGTAAAATGGATTTGTCCGACTGCTCCAACACGTCCCGTTACTTTCTTGTGTGGAACCCAAACTACTGCTTGTAAGATATATTTATTTGGCTTTAAACTTCAGAAAACACTAGTTCTATTTAATGTCTTCTAAAATTTTAATTAAAAACTAATAACATTGTATATATATTGTTTTGATGACTTAGGGTGCGATATCACGGGAATTTCTGAGAATATGGAAGACGATATGGTTTCTTTCAATTCTACAGCTGCGTTTGTTGTTAACCTTCTCAAAGATGAACCAGGCAATGGTAACCCATAATCATCATCTACACATAACATGCCTAGTTTATAGTATAAATGCATCAAACTTTATATATCAAATCTATTAATCCAATTGGTTTTTGATAGTCATGATAGGAGTAGGAGGTATCGGCATGGGTGCAGCGGTAGCTCTCTACTCTGCAAGTGCAACTTGTTATATCACTGGACGGGAGCAAACCATAGGACGACTAAGAACTATTGTAGGGATCAACGGATGGCTTCCTGCTTGGAGGTAAACTCGCTTTAAACCATTACATTATTATTTGTAAGAAAACTTAAGTTACACAAACTTTCATTTAAACATAGAAACTTAACTCAAAACTTGCAGATGCTTCCACCGCAACCCATATCTTGCACCATCTGTACAAATCTTACTTACACATGGAATTTGTATGTGTATATTGTCATCTACATATCTACTTTATGATTTATATTGTAATCTTGAGATGATACTGATTCCTCTTTGTCCTTCTTTTTTGTGTGTATCACAGCTGATGTTATAGTTCCTTTCCAAGTTGGAAACAGATGTTTTGACACTCTTCGCAGGGCTGGATTTCCAGTCACATTCACACCATACGAAGGGTATCTAAACATAAATTAACTTAACTTTTCTTTTGTTTAATTACTACTTGACTTTATTTTTTCTGAATCTAATTTTGGGGTTATACCTTGTATAGGGATCATCATGCAAACGTTCCCCAAGTAATCAATGGTGTTCGCATGTGGCTCACAATGAACCTCCAGCTCTAGGGTCAATTCTCACCAGTGCATAGAGAAAGGAATTGGAGAGTAAAACTATTATTCAATATACTATACATATATAATAGCATATTTCATTTTTATTAAATTTCATTTTATTTGTTCATAATCAATAATATATATGCATTGTATTCTTTCTTGGGAACCTTTTAAAAACTTAAATTTATTTCTCCATTTTAGGATATAAGTTATCTACTATTTTATGTAAAATCTGGCATATTAATTTCTCAATGCTCCTTTCCATTCTCATTGTTACTATTATGTTTGGCATGCATCTTACTGAAGCTAGCTACAATGTAAGTCTTTATCTCCTTTGTATGAAGTTCAAACATCTTATTCTCTTAGGCAATGTTTCATTCACTTCATCATAAAGGTCTATGACAAGAAGGGAGCAGAAGGCCAAGAGGAGATAATAAAGGCTTTGGAGTTTTATGCTTAATTCTATAGGCATCGTTTCTCTTTGGGATTATTTTGGCTTGTTTTTTTTTTCTTTCAATTTAATCATGTGCCCTTTTAATAGATGGACATTTTTTTCCTTGTGAGTTAAGGGCAAATTATATGAGCTGATCAGTTTTAAGCGTATTATATTAAATGAATTAAATTTTTTTTTTCAAGTTTAACTAGAGCTTGTGTGCGTTCTGATTTTTGTCACGTCACTTTGTGTTCGTCTTGACACATGATTGTATATGTAATACTATATTAAGTTGATCTCAATTATAGTCTTCATGTTGCTTTCATTAACAGGCATTGATATAATGATTTGGGATAATAGATATATAGATTACTGTAAATAACATGCATATTTACTATGATCAAGTCGATAGAATCACCTCGTGTCTAGATTAAGTTGTTTGAAATAGTACGTTACGTACAATTTAGAAGTCACAGATGATAATATATATATATAGTTCCCTTCCCATTTGGAAACAAATGTTTTGACCTCTTGCCATAGCTGGATTTCCAGACACATTCACACCAAACGATGGGTATCTAAACATGAATTAACTTAAAAATTTTAATTAATGATAAATTCATTCCAGTGATTTGGTGTTTTTTTTACATGTTTTAATGATTTTTTATGTGTTTTATTTAATATTTTGGCAAAAACAGTCTTAATATTGAAAAATGATTCTGATTTCAAAAGACTAGGTCATAATCCACACTATGCCGCAGAGTTGCTTTTAGTTGTTTTTTTCAGTTACATGTGTGTAGTTTCTTATGCGGCTGAAGATATTTATATAGAAATCATGTATGTTTATAAGAAAATTTTAATCTGGCAAACGAATGGATGAAAGCTAGTGCGGTTGTAGTTTCTTATGCGGCTGTAGTTTCTTATGCGGTTGAGTGCCTTGGTCGGATGCTTGGTCGAGCTGCTTCTTTGGTCCGCTCAAATCTTCACTAGATTCCTCAGCTCAGATCCATATACTCGATCGGATGCATGATCTCCACTCGGTCGATTGAGCCTGTTTTGCTTCTTTTCCCCTTGCTAAACACATGTTTGGACACAAAATCTACAACGCATGCAATGCAAAACCTAAACTCTACTAGTGAAACAACATAAAGAAAATATGCACAAATGATCAAGTGAGATAAGACCTAGAATGACAAAAAAATGCATAAATCTAGTGCTAAAAATGTGTAAAATCCAGACACATCAGTATTTGTTAAGTAAAAACAACACCATAATATTTTGTACTTACTTTTTGTCCTCCATCTCGAAAAGAAGTTGTTGATGTACATTTTAATTTTCTTGTCGTCTCAAGTTCATGACACATATAAAACGGCCTATTAAATCTTCATGCATTGATTATATTTATTTAGAAGATATGTAAACTAATATTTTCAAGTTTGATAACAATTAAACCATAATAGATTTGTTTTAATTACCAACACAAGAGTTCTTACGAATTGCGTTTAGCGCAATTACATTTAGAATTCATCTACTTATAACGTTATGTCCAACCATGATCACAATAATCAAGTATTGCTTCAATTGCTATATGTAAATCATTCAACTAATCGATTCAATGACTATATGTAAGTTACAAAAAAATGCTATATGTAAATAAGAAAGATAATTACCCTTTGATCAGCAAGGATTAAAACCCTCTTCGTCATGAAATCTCTCCTGTAAGCAATACTCAAAATCTTCACGTCTATGTTCCAATCAGTCCTCGACGGATTCAAATTGGCTATGCAATCTCTCCGCATTTTGAAACGCCGTGTAGAATATCGTGATTTTCTTTGAAGAAAAGTGTAGAAGAAGAGACTCCGTGTTTAAGAGTTTTCTCGATTTCAATTTTGCCAAATAGATTTAGAGTTGGAAGAAGATGAAACGTCTATCGATTTCTTATGCGGCTGTAGTTTCTTATGCGGTTGAGTGCCTTGGTCGGATGCTTGGTCGAGCTGCTTCTCTGGTCCGCTCAAATCTTCACTAGATTCCTCAGCTCGGATCCATATACTCGATCGGATGCATGATCTCCACTCGGTCGATTGAGCCTGTTTTGCTTCTTTTCCCCTTGCTAAACACATGTTTGGACACAAAATCTACAACGCATGCAATGCAAAGCCTAAACTCTACTAGTGAAACAACATAAAGAAAATATGCACAAATGATCAAGTGATGAGACCTAGAATGACAAAAACAATGCATAAAGCTAGTGCTAAAAATGTGTAAAATCCAGACACATCAGTATTTGTTAAGTAAAAACAACACCATAATATTTTGTACTTACTTTTTGTCCTCCATCTCGAAAAGAAGTTGTTGATGTACATTTTAATTTTCTTGTCGTCTCAAGTTCATGACACATATAAAACGGCCTATTAAATCTTCATGCATTGATTATATTTATTTAGAAGATATGTAAACTAATATTTTCAAGTTTGATAACAATTAAACCATAATAGATTTGTTTTAATTACCAACACAAGAGTTCTTACGAATTGCGTTTAGCGCAATTACATTTAGAATTCATCTACTTATAACGTTATGTCCAACCATGATCACAATAATCAAGTATTGCTTCAATTGCTATATGTAAATCATTCAACTAATCGATTCAATGACTATATGTAAGTTACAAAAAAATGCTATATGTAAATAAGAAAGATAATTACCCTTTGATCAGCAAGGATTAAAACCCTCTTCGTCATGAAATCTCTCCTGTAAGCAATACTCAAAATCTTCACGTCTATGTTCCAATCAGTCCTCGACGGATTCAAATTGGCTATGCAATCTCGCCGCATTTTGAAACGCCGTGTAGAATATCGTGATTTTCTTTGAAGAAAAGTGTAGAAGAAGAGACTCCGTGTTTAAGAGTTTTCTCGATTTCAATTTTGCCAAATAGATTTAGAGTTGGAAGAAGATGAAACGTCTATCGATTTCTTATGCGGCTGTAGTTTCTTATGCGGTTGAGTGCCTTGGTCGGATGCTTGGTCGAGCTGCTTCTCTGGTCCGCTCAAATCTTCACTAGATTCCTCAGCTCGGATCCATATACTCGATCGGATGCATGATCTCCACTCGGTCGATTGAGCCTGTTTTGCTTCTTTTCCCCTTGCTAAACACATGTTTGGACACAAAATCTACAACGCATGCAATGCAAAACCTAAACTCTACTAGTGAAACAACATAAAGAAAATATGCACAAATGATCAAGTGATGAGACCTAGAATGACAAAAAAAATGCATAAATCTAGTGCTAAAAATGTGTAAAATCCAGACACATCAGTATTTGTTAAGTAAAAACAACACCATAATATTTTGTACTTACTTTTTGTCCTCCATCTCGAAAAGAAGTTGTTGATGTACATTTTAATTTTCTTGTCGTCTCAAGTTCATGACACATGTAAAACGGCCTATTAAATCTTCATGCATTGATTATATTTATTTAGAAGATATGTAAACTAATATTTTCAAGTTTGATAACAATTAAACCATAATAGATTTGTTTTAATTACCAACACAAGAGTTCTTACGAATTGCGTTTAGCGCAATTACATTTAGAATTCATCTACTTATAACGTTATGTCCAACCATGATCACAATAATCAAGTATTGCTTCAATTGCTATATGTAAATCATTCAACTAATCGATTCAATGACTATATGTAAGTTACAAAAAAATGCTATATGTAAATAAGAAAGATAATTACCCTTTGATCAGCAAGGATTAAAACCCTCTTCGTCATGAAATCTCTCCTGTAAGCAATACTAAAAATCTTCACGTCTATGTTCCAATCAGTCCTCGACGGATTCAAATTGGCTATGCAATCTCTCCGCATTTTGAAACGCCGTGTAGAATATCGTGATTTTCTTTGAAGAAAAGTGTAGAAGAAGAGACTCCGTGTTTAAGAGTTTTCTCGATTTCAATTTTGCCAAATAGATTTAGAGTTGGAAGAAGATGAAACGTCTATCGATTTCTTATGCGGCTGTAGTTTCTTATGCGGTTGAGTGCCTTGGTCGGATGCTTGGTCGAGCTGCTTCTCTGGTCCGCTCAAATCTTCACTAGATTCCTCAGCTCGGATCCATATACTCGATCGGATGCATGATCTCCACTCGGTCGATTGAGCCTGTTTTGCTTCTTTTCCCCTTGCTAAACACATGTTTGGACACAAAATCTACAACGCATGCAATGCAAAACCTAAACTCTACTAGTGAAACAACATAAAGAAAATATGCACAAATGATCAAGTGATGAGACCTAGAATGACAAAAACAATGCATAAATCTAGTGCTAAAAATGTGTAAAATCCAGACACATCAGTATTTGTTAAGTAAAAA